AAAAACCCAGGTGGAGAGCTATCACGTCTGGATTCCAAAACATTTTCATCCGGCTGTTCAGTTTCGTTTTCCCTGCCGCTGAACTCAGCATCAACACCAGTTTCCACATTGTCAGGGAAAACTACATGTTCAGTGGCTTGCTCAGTTGGAAATACTATCAGAGAATCAGGTTCACACAGATCAGGCTGAACCCCAACAGAACCATTGTAATAATAATAATAATAATAATAATAATAATAATAATTGTCACAGTTCTTATCACAGTGTACTTTTCAGTTCTTATTAGCAACTTTTAATTACAGTCAAGCAAGCAGGTAGTTAGTCATTGCAGGCCTTAATATTATACTAGTGTCTCCAAAATTATTAACTCAACTCATACTTCTTCAATTCATTCCCACACATCATTAAATCCACATTTATCAAATCTGCAATTATCATTTTATTTATTTATTTACAGTATTTATATACCGCCTTTTTCACCCCTGGGAGGACTCAAAGTGGTGATAATACATATATGCAAATACAGAGGTTCAGAAATCCCTAAATTCCCAAACACTCTGGTCCCAAGAGCTGCCCCACCTTCATGCTTAGAGAGCAGCCGGTCTCTGAGCAGAATGGGCTGTTGTCTCGTCCAGTGGACATCCCAGAAGGACTTGGCCTCATTTTCCCGATCTACCTCTGCTTTCCCCAATTCCCTTTTCCCTCTGCAGTGTTTGGGATGGTGCCTTTCCTGAACTCCATCCTGGGGACGATGCTGCCCATGCTGGGGATGGCCAAGCAGGACAACATGAAGTCCGTCTTCTGCTACGGTAAGCGGGCCGGCCTCTTCTCCCGGGGATGGAAATGCCATTGACAGATTCCTGGTTTATTGGGATCTGAACTCTGGACTCGGAGCCTGAGATACTGGTCAGAGCCCTGCAGACGTGGTTCTGCGATCTCTCCCGAATTGCTCTCCTGGCAAAAAGGAGGTGGGAGAAGGAGACGGGTATGCTTGCAGTGTTGCTAACGCTAATTATGTGGGTCCGGCAGCGCTGCAGTCCTTCAGCGAGAGCATCCAGGAGTACCTGGCCAACCTGGACAAGGCCCCAGACCCCACCGTCCGCCGCGACACCTTCTCCAATGAGATCTTCAGCGCCTACGAAGTGCTCTTCTACGGCTGGCTCCAGAGTCGGGAAGCCAAGGTGAGGCCACTGTCCTGAATGCTTTTTGAACCTTAAAAATGTTCTTTTATTCCGTTTGCAGTGAGACAGAGTATATCAGGTGCCTTACAGAGTAAGAACGGAGACATGCAAAGTATATGTGTGTGTGTTTGTATACACACATACACACACACATATCTATATAAATAAAAATGTAATGTTGATTTGTGGGATTAACCTAACTCAAAAACCACTGGACGAATTGACACCAAATTTGGACACAAGACA